TATAATTATTGTTATTATTATAAGGTATAGTAGATCCTCATGTAAGTCAAAGTAAAATATTTAATAATAATGCAGTTTTACTATAATTAATAATTAAGTTGAAGGGATTAAAAAAAATCTAGCTTCCTTAATAGCTTAATTTCATCTTTAAATCTAGTAGTTACATTAGCTCTAGATGTTAAATCGGCTATTAACAAAATGGTAGGATGTTTACCAATTAATTCCTACTATTTCTACAAACTTGATGTCATATCTCCATCCTTCAGTATCAAGCTTACAGGCAGTAATGCTAGCCAATATTCTTCTGAAAAAAGGTTTCTACAAGATACTCAAAATACAAGATCTCAAAACTAGATCTACAAGAAGCCCTCTATTAGTAACTGAAAATAATTATTTTAGTTTCAACAATAAAATATACTTACAAAAACAGGGTGTACCCATGGGGTTCCCACTTCAGCCACCTTGGTAGAATTAATCATGAAAAATATTGAAATTAAAATCTTTTATCACCTCTAACATGATGATTTTCAATTTCATGTTCAGTTGACTCCCCCTATAACACGGTAGATACGTTCCGGTTTTTATGAATCCATTTTCTATGAGTCCAGCCAATCATAGCCTGGCACATATGGAGTTTATGGACTACAGCTGTTTGAAAGGTTTCTTCTATAAAATTAATCCATTCTAGACTAATTCGACTCAACATTTCCAAAATATGTATAATTTTTTGGGAATAATCCATATAAACTATGCTATAAACAAAAAATTGTAAGATTACTTACCGAGTGTACACCGTTCGACTACGCCATTGCTTAAGCTTGTTTTCATTGTGGAGCTTGTCATCAAATGGCGCTCGTGTGCTTCCTGATAAATGATTTTTTTTGCGAAAAATTCGCTGAACTTTGGAGACATCATTAATATAAATATAATTTTTATGGACGTTAAATAATAAATGGTTTTTAGTAGGTCCGCTGCTTGTTTAAACTCAACGGTTTGTACAATATCCGCTATTGGTCTAGATTCGACCAATCCTGTCGCAACATGAGTCGGCGATGATGTTTTACTGAATTATAGGAGTTTTTTTAGCATGTTTGTACGAATACTATCACGATTTTTTCAGTGATATAGGAATCCGAACTATAGGAACCCATGTTATAGGGGGGTTGACTGTATTAGGTATGTAGATAACATCTTATCATGGGATGGATCGTATAAAGACCTTTTACACTTCATACAACTCTTGTCATCTATAAACCCATCAATATCATTTACTTTAGATGATGAGAAAAGACAACAGTATTGCTTTTCTAGATTTGTTTATCTGCAGATTAGGTATTAGCTACACAGTACACCACAAATTCAATTTATACTTATACATTATCCTTGCAAGCTCATTTCAAACAACTAAATATATAATGCTATACTCAGGGTCTATTTGTATTCTCCTTCACAGTATCTTATACGTAAAGAACTGTATATAATATTTACTGTTGTACAGAAAGCACATTACACATACACTAAATTCAAACACATCAAAAATTGTATATAAATCCTTCTTTCCTCTCACAATACTACACAATAGAAATGAAAAATTAATATTTGTAAGCCCAGTTATTCAATACTTAGGACCATTCAATACATTATGAAGTGCAAAGGTTTTTAAAAAAACAGTCTTATCCTCCCAATCAAGTCTTAGCCACCATTATATAGATATTTGTAATGACAGGGATATTTTTTTAACATTAGAGAAGTCAGGCATTTATATGATTCCTTTAAAAAAAACAAGCACACACACAAGGCAATATTATGTAGGTGCTACAAACTGAAAACTTCTGATAGAACATCAGAGGGATATTCAGAAAATAGACTTATTACATTCTTATTCTTTTTGGTCCAAAACATCATTAATCAAACAATGTGTTGACTGAAAATCTATCTTCATTTGGGAAACATTATACATAACTACATTAAAACCCTGTAACAAACATCTTTTAGAAATCCCAAATATATGGATCTCACTATTTAAACTTTTAAATGATACCATTATACCTTGCACCAAAAATTTTAATTTATATTTTGTTATATTTTATTTTTATTTGTAAAATCATTCTTATATCTTACACTTAACTTTTTGTAATTTACTTTATTAGTTTATCATTCTTTTATCCCCTATAAAATTTGTTATATTTAGCATCTTCAATTTATATTTATGTTCAAATTTTAACATTTACAACTTTAAATATGTACAGTATGTATGGTTAAATGATCTCATAAAGGTAATTAAATAATGTTCTATTTTAACCTGAAGAAAATATCAATGCAATGTCAAAAGGGCTTGTTTTTATTATCACTAAGGTGGTTATTTTATTATTTGATTAAACGAGGTATTAAATTGCTGTCTTTATACCTGTACATTTCTACTTATTCATGTGATCCCATGNGGCAAATTTTCTGGAAATATTTCTTGAGTAATTACTTTAAAAAATAGGAAAAAAATCAATTTGTTTTTGTTGATAGATTACAGTTTTACAATAAGATCTTGTTGTAATAATTTTAATTGTTAAATGAAAGATAAGTTTGTGTTCCCATTGCTAGTTAATACACCACTATTCATTACACTAATGTTAATTTTTAGGTTAATTTAAAGTCAGTATTGATATGTTGATGTCTGAATAAGTTAGATATAAATGTGGTAGATAGTATCTCTTACAAATGGCAAGGAAAAATACGATGATGACGATGACTACTTTGCCTTCAGAAATGGAGACATGATTTGAGTCCATTATAGTTCAATAAAAAGTTTCTTAAAACAGACCATACATCATATTTATTAATAAACAAAATAAAATCATACATAGCTGGACATATCCAGTCCAAATACTTACACTATACACAACAATGTCTACATCTGATAAATTCAATAAATATACAGGACTCTTCCAAATAAGTTATTGTTGAAAATGGCTATGGTTTTCATCCACAAGTGTCACATCATATATATTAAACAAATGTTAAATCTTAATTACAACATTTTACATAATACTTAAAAATTTAATATTGCTGTGAGGGGATAGCTGGAGATACAGAGTAGGTAAGACTCTAGTATCACTTACTCGGCAGCTATTCCTTGAGAATAGCCCTCTGTTTGACTAGAAGGATGGTTTTCCTAATTCAAGGAAATCGAGGGTGGAGGACTTTAACTAATATGTTAAAGAGAAAGATCTGGATGGTAAGGTGTAGATCACGTCAAGATAATGACCCCCAGTTAATCGATTTTATATTACACGGATTAATACACGTACCAAGTCGTGAAGGAGATGATGAAATATATTTGATTCAGATGATGTAACAGTCATTTCTTTAACAATAAACAAAAATTTAATGAACAAGAATTAGGTTATACAAAATTGAATCTTCAAATAAGACTACTGATCAAGAGAGAGAGCTCAAAATTTCTGTTAAAAACATACTACCTCAAATCATGTGTCTTTTTGTCTTCTTGAGATCTTTTTCTGGAAGAATGTTCTTCTCTTGATTAGTTCTTGAGCAACACATAAATAAACGTTTTTCTTCTTGTATTTACTGACTTAATAATTCATTTAGGAGACTTCGGGAATCGATTATGGGCATTGGCCGGAGGGAGATGATGTGGAATACGTCTGTCCTCTTTTGGATCTTCTGGCATACTCCCCAAATAATTCAAAATTCTTTCTGTTTCTGACAAGTTTTCACCAATCAGCATCTCATATTTTTCCACGTGAACAGGAAAAATGGATTTTACTGAGGGGTTGACAGTTCCCAGAATGACTAAAATTTTAGGAGATAATGGAAACCAAAAAGTATGTTCAACTTCTGTTGAAGGAAGTGACTTTTTCCAGATTCCTTTGTTTTAGAAAATATAATTTTCCCTCCAAAATCATAGAATATTTTCATCTAAAATTTTTTTATTTCGATTAAATTTTTAATTAACTACAGAGGTGGTTCGCATCTCACATTGCTGTTCTTTTTAATCATATTGCCACGAATATTGAAAACATTAACAGCATACAAATGTGATACATAATATCTTAAGCCTTAAGTTCCATTTTTAGTAGCTATCTAAATATGTATTACTTGACACCAAGTACAGTAGTACCTCGGTATACGTCTGCTTTAGAATATGTCCAATTCGGAATACGTCCTGTTTGGACAAAACAAATTTTGCTCAGTATACGACTTAATTCAATTATATGCGCCATCTATGAACAAGTAGCATTATTGGTGTACTAGACCAGACTAGATATTCGCAGTGCCACGGTTTATAACTTTGTTAAATTTCTTTTGATTTTAATTTGTAAGTAAAATTTTATTATTTTTATTAATCATGAATCACAAAAAGGCAAATGAAAAGCAACAGAAAACTAAAAAATTGACTAGAATCACAATGGAATTGAAAAAAGAGATTGTTGAGAAATATGAAGGTGGCATGCGTGTTCGAGATTTAACTGTTGCATACCGTATTCCGAGAACGACGATATCGACAATCGTGAAAAATAAAGACATTATTAAATCTGCTAACGTTGCGAAAGGGGTTAAATCAATTTCTAAACAGAGATCGAAGACATTAGATCATGTTGAGAAATTGCTTTTGCTTTGGATAACTGAAAAACAGTGTGCTGGCGACAGTGTATCAGAAGCAATTATTTGCGAGAAAGCTAAAAAGATACATGCTGATTTCATGAAAAATCAAGCAGGAACTAGCTAGGAAAGCGAGGTGTTTAAAGCCAGCCATTTTTTTTTACATAACAGATTAATCATTTTTACATTACTTCTTATGGGGAAAGGTTGGTTTGGTATACGTCCTATTCAGTATAAGTCCAAACATCAGGAACGAATTAAGGTCGTATACCGACATTCCACTTTATTTCATTTTACTTATCACAATAGTCATAATGAAACCAAAAATTTCTAATTTTAAATATTTCAGTGCATTAAATATATATTGGATTTTTATTTTTTAGATGAACGTGCTGGAAACTTAACTGTTGTACTTAATGATTCATCTGCAATAACAAATTTACGTGCACAAATCACATTATTAGTCAGAGGAAATTATTCTAATCCACCTGCACATGGAGTCAGAATTGTAGCTCGTGTCTTAGGAAATCCTGAACTTTTTGAAGAATGGTAAATTTTAATTATCACTTTTGAATATATAAACAATTACACTTGTGAAATCATGGTTTTATTAAGTTATATATATTTTTGATTTCACTTCATTTTAATATATATAAAAATTAATATATATTTTAATTATATTAATGTTTTTAATTTTTAAAATTTTATTTTGCAGGAAAGAGCACATAAAAACAATGTCTGGACGTATTATGGAAATGAGAAAAGCACTATATGATAAATTAAAAGAACTGAATACACCTGGAACATGGGACCACATTATTAATCAAATTGGAATGTTCTCTTATACTGGATTAACACGTAAGTTAGAAATATATTTTAATAATTAAGTTGGGATTAAAAAAGATTTGCCAACTAAACTTTTACAAAATAAAGCTAAAAATCTAAACATGTATATAATTTCTGAAATCCTTTAGACTTTCAGAATTGAGAGATATATAATTTTTGTTGTATATAAGTAAATTATTAGAATGCTATTGGATTAATATGTACTAGTTACAAAGAGAAAAAAAGTTTAGAATTAGTGATGACTCAGAATTCTTTGTGCTAGAAACCTTTGATTCTTAGAAATATCAGTTTGCCATTGTTAATCATTTAGTTATGTAAAAGTTGTAGTTTAGATTTCATTAGAAGCAATGCTGTATTACAACTTGAATTTTAAATTTTGTTTCTGTAAGTGATCCAATTATGTCTTTATTCAGCTTTTTTAAATTTTAAACAATAATTTTTTTTATTGGTAAGATTGCAAGTTTGAATGTTGCAGCTGTGAGTACTGATTAGTATTTTTAAATAATTATTTAAATATTATGAAGTATAACTTGTAACGCACCGTTTACGAAACAAAAAGGGGTTACACAATAGTAGAGTTCAAGTACCAGGCCTGGACTTTCCAAAATAAAAATAACCAATAATTTTCACAACCACATATAATAATTCACAATAAATATAAGATTTATTATCTCGACAAAAAAACAATAATGGGTTAATTGTCCCAACAGTAAGTTAAATAATTGAACACTGGAAAAGTTGCAACAAAAATCAATCAAAGACAACAATACTTATAATATCCAACTCAACAAAACTTTTATCTCCACCTCAAAAGGATTCTACAGAAAAAAGATATGGTTTCCTCTAATTGATCCCAGACGTTTCTACCACAGTTGTCACCTGAAAACTAACTCTGTCGTGGATGTGCCGCCTTTTATTCTACCTCGAATGCAGCTCCGCACTGTCTTAATTTACATAAGATGTCGTTCCAGGATCAGGCACTGATGCAAACTAAGTTTGCTTTTTCTTTCATGGTCACTGGTGCTTAGGAGTTTGTCCTTAACAAAAAGAACCCCAAAAAGAAAATAATTAAATAAAAATAACGCCCCAAAACATAAAATAACAATCGGACATTGACTCCTTTACAAACTGTGTATTTTTGAAAAGTGAATTGTAAATATTCCAACTTTTTTATTGGATGAGGTATTATCTGATATGCTATCCTATAGTCCCTTTCTTTTTTTATTTTATTTTTTAAATAAAGGATATTAAAAATTAAAACTTGGAAAGTTGATAATTGTCATATTTCAAGAACTAGTAGCTTAGTTCTCAAAAAGTATAAATTATTCGTAACATGTTTGAACATGGTGATCATTAGATTGTATGTATGTTGCCATTCTAGCAATAATTGAATTCTGAATTGATTATATTTAAATATATGTTAACTATATGAATAAAACACAAAAATGTTTTAAAAGTTCATTGTGGTTTGTTATTTTGAAAATAATAATGCTTCATTGCATAGTTTACATAAACAACCATTAAATCACAAAACAGTAACAAGTACAAAATCAGCAAGATTTATTTCTATATTCTTTGGTCTAAGAAAGACCACAAATATTCAAAATATACACATTGTTACTTCTGGCTGAAATGTATTTTGGTATTTTCATACAAACATTAGTTTATTCTAATGCAGTCACTATAGTTACATACTATGGTCTTAAACTTCAATCATAGACAAATCATAAGCATGCCTAGCAAAGAATAGTAGAAACTTGATTAACGTTAGACAGCAGTTAGGCAGACTGACATAATATACTAAAACAACAAAATACTAAGCTTAAAGTGATTAGGAAAGTACTCAGAGAAATTAAAGAAACTTTCACACAGAACAAACACAATATGCATTTACGATAATACTTGAACAATTTCAAAATAACAACTTAGTCAGGTCATAAAAACTGAAATGATATAAAACCTGTGTGCTGCATTAACAACAAAATTTATTCACAGAAAATTTCTTTTTTCTACAGAAAACTACATATCAAATTCACCACTCAATTGCAGCACAATGTATTGGTGTACAGTACATGAACACTGTACATCAACAGAAAAACAACTCATGACTCTTCGTGTGTTCTTTGGTCCAGTCCAATCACACGCAAATGAAGCAAATTGTATCGAAGAGGAAGAACAAAACATACACAATACATCAATCATGTCCTGTGTTGAAATAAATATATATGATATTCAAAATGTAGTACAAAGAATGAACAGTTGGAAGACACTTAGTACATACATTTTGTAAACTTTTTTGTACTAAAAATTATCTCTCTGCACCAGGAACTAGCTAAACATTTTACATGCATAAGACATACTAAAATTTTTTACATAGGATATCATATGCATGAAATCCAAAAAATGGCAACAGAGACCTTACACAAGTACAGATTACTCACATGCCTTCCTACACTCTAGACAAAATATTCACTTCATACAACCCAAACAAAATATAGTATCACATGAAATAACACAATATTCTCAACAGAAAAACAAAAAAGGCTGTCTTAGAAACCACATGAGATTAAAGGAACTCATTACTCATAGATTGTCATTCTATGAAAAGTGCATAAATCTTTGAATAACAAACCTACACATGTAATACATACTTTACAGAAAGGCATTTGACAGCATTTCACATTGCATAGGTGTAGTTATTGCATATACTACACCTATATAAAATACATCCAACATTCATTGCATTTTTAAAAAACAGAATGCAACACTGGAGAAAAACAAAACACTTCAGATTTTGCAACACACATACATGAAAACAAAGAAAATAATAAGGCAAGATATCTTTCAGGGAGATTTAAGTCCACTTTAGGTTCAAGGCCAGACAGACAAAACTGTTGTCCAATAGGTTAAACAACACTAAATCTGATAAAACGTCAAACACAACAGAACTGTGCATTTAAAGCAATTAACACACATGTTGTCCTAGTACTTAAATATTCATTTGGAGTTATACATTGGAAGCACACAGAACTAAGTGAATGCCTGAAAAAAAAAAAAGAAAAATAAATAAACAAACAATGTTAACAAAACAAAAACAATATTAACAAAACAAAAACACCCTAAGTTCTCTGTAGAAAGGCTGACTCTCCTAAAGGGAGGATGAAGCCTCAGATGTAAATCTTTACTATGAAGAAATATAGATACTGCAAGAGTTTTTCTACAAAAATTAGAAACATCATAACTACACAAATCTGAAACTCCTTGCAGACAATTTATTATGCCATTTTAAACTACACTGCACTGGCCTGGTTCTAATATATTAAACAAAATATACAGATATTTAAATCCTGGGCTCTTAGAGCTTCGTGGCAGTCATCCTAATCAGGATCACATTGCCAGTATTTTCATGCAGTTCTGTCAAATTACATGACTGCCACTTCAGAAAGGTGTATTGTAATCGTGAACCGTTCCAAGACAGATTATAAATACTGTACGAAAATCTATAGGAAGCATGTTTTAAGACAACAAGGTTAATATTTGTAAAAAATGCCACATAATGGTCATATAGCATTCAGTTGCAAGCTTTTAACATAAACATACTAATCAGATTCACTCATTTGATTGGCATGTACTTTGTGTTGATTGTAAAAAAAATAAGCCTAATACATTAAAATCTTGCATGCAAACACAAATTGTTATATACCTAGGAATTATACAATAAAAAATGCATTACATTCACAGAAAACCATACATAAAATATATTATGACCAAGTTATCAAAGATAAAACACAACAAACCAGACATCATATTTCTTGAAAGACAAAACAAAATTGCATATATCATAGACATAGCTGCCCAACACACAACAAATAAAATTCGTACATCCTAAAAAAATTAGCAAATGCTCAACTTGCTCACAAAATAAAGTATCTGTGGAAAATAGATAAGTTTCTTAATTGTGCCAGTAGTACTTTTTTTCACAGGCATCATACTATATACACTACACAAATTTTGAAATGTTAGAGCTTTAAAACAGTGAACAAATTACACTAAGACAAAGAATTTCCTGTTTTTTTATGATAAACACAAATACATAAATGAACAACTCATTAGCATATTGATAACTTGTTATGTATTTATTTGTCTTGACTCTTGTCATCATAGTGCTATGCACTAGTGTAACTATCTTGTAGCTTGTATCTTGTACTTCACTACACCAACACCACCATAATAAAAAGATATAAATGTTTTTATATAATATTTCATATGGATAAAAACAACATTGCCAAGAACTTTCATTACATTATAGATTTGTCTTTTGTCTGTTGAATTTGTCCTAGAATCTATGAAAATTATATTGTTTTCAGTAAATAGAATATATTCTAATTTTTAAAATATTTTTATTTTTTACCAAAGATAAAGATTTTGTTAATATTTAAATTATCTTTTAATTTTCAGAACCTCAAGTCCAGCATCTTGTTCAACAATATCACATCTACTTGCCTAAGGATGGTCGGATAAGTATATGTGGACTAAATACAGGCAATGTCGAATACGTTGCAAAGGCAATTAATGATGCCATTACTAAAATAAATTAAAATGAGAAATAAGACAAGGATAGACTTATTTTTAATATTCTGTAGAAACAGCTTATAGTTATTTAAATGCCAGGACTTAAAATTGTTTTTGTATAGCATGTTATATTTTTTATTTGGAGAGCACATTAATATATTGTATAAAGAATAGTTGTATGAAAGAAATGTTAAAATAGTGTTGTTGAAATAAATGGTGTTAACTAAATCTGTGCTTGATGATATTTTCAAAAATGTTTTTAAATATTTACTTATAAATTGCTCAATAAATTTTATAGTTTTATATTTCATATTATTGATACTATATTATAGTTTCAAAAATACAACTTTTATATAATTAATTCAAGAGTTAAAACAGTTTAAGCTTAAACTGTAGAATAGTCATTTTTAGACTTTTATATATAGTTAATGTTAAGATCTTCAGCACATTTTAGGCCACTCAAGCCATCATGAATTAAATAGGACAGATAAAATTTGATTGTAATGTTAAATAGGCTTAATTTAACTTTAGATCTATTTCACAAAAACTTTTATTTTAGCATTGACTGTTTTCATTTATCACCATAAATGTATGAGTGGTATGACGTATGCTAAAAATCTTAGTAGTTAAAGTAATTTTTACAATTTCTAGACTTATATACATAGTTAATAGAAAGTTCAGTTTAAAAATTCATTAATTGCATAGTTATGACTTATCAATATTGTTCCTCTTTAAAATTAATAAAATAAAATTTTAGTCATTAATTTTACATTAGATTGAAGTGATTTGGAATAATTTTAGCATTAAAAAAACAAGTGACCAAATGATGGAATGTTAAAAGTACGCATTTCGACGTCAGACGAGTTACGTGATCGATTCCGGTTGCTGATCGTGTTCTCGTTTATTGGCATCATTAATGGCAGATTTACGAATATTTTATTTATCCATATGTTTTTGTTTACAAAATGATCTACATATGCGATAACTACAATGAACAATTATGGCCCAAAGTAGCTTTGCTTTAACTACCTTTTTTTTTAAATTCAGATATTACAGTTGTCCCTCGATAGTCCGACGTTTTTTAATCCGACATGCTCAGTAGTCCGACGCACCTCCCGTCAAGGTGCCCGTCCCCGTTACGTGTCTGCTTGCACAGAAGCATGTCGCGATGTGAATCTCCCCATCCAATTCTTACTCCATGACACACATTTCGTGTGTTTTATGTGAGCAGTTCTGTTCAAACAGTTGGAGTAGAGAATATTGTAAGTTACTGCTAGCAAAACAATGCGAAATATGTAATCATTTTCGGTAATCCGGACACTTTTGGTAATCCGACACACCTTTGGTCCCATACCTGTCGGATTATCGAGGGACAACTGTACTTCATTTTTATAATTTATTCGCACAATTGAATATTAAAATTTTTATGCTAAACTTGGTGATTCATCTTTGGCGTGCATTGAATATTGTTTGTTTTTGAATATAGCTAATTATGAAACAATCAAAATCGGGACAGCATATTAAAAAGCGGTACTGCCTCTCCAATTCGGAATGTTGGTCACTATAGGCCCAATTAGATGTTTAGAAATAAATTTAATCTCCAGTTTATTTTTGTACGGGTTCAATTAAATAATTTATCAGTATTTTAGTGATTTATTTAATATCTAACACTTTAGTATCATTCGTAGTTAGATAGATTTGAATATGAACAAAGTGTTTTTATTTATTTAATTATTAATTAAATAATTATTTATTTATTTATATGATATTTTTATAATTTAACCAAATTCAAATATATACAAATTAAACATTATGGTAATTATTACTCTCATCATACTACAGTGTGATTTATATTTAGAACTCAATTCATAAAGCTAATTCAGGAAATTATTTCAGTCAGATGTCTGTAAGAGACTCATCATCAACGTTCTTTTATTGGAATAGGTATAACGTTCGTAAGAGATGTAAAACTTGAAATTTAGTCCCTTTTGTAAAAGATTTTCAGATTATCACAAGAATAGATCTGAATTAATTAATGAAGTTATTATCTGCATAACCAAGTAAGATTTAAAGATATCTAACCGTTTTGTAAAATATTAAACAGAATCATATATCAATTGATCTTATCGGGTAGCGCATGAATATCTTAGTTACAAACTAAAGATATCATCTGATTGAAACGTGTAAAGTCCGTCCAATGAAAGAGCTTTTCGAGGTCGTTTTTGATATGTGAATCATTAAAAATGTCCAATGTGAGCCGTAAGATGTTAAAAGTATCCTATGGTTTACACTGCAAACTTTATTTTCACGACTTTTATTGATTCGGCTAATCTTATTAATTAAACATTTTAGTTCTGAAAAAGACTTAAATACTCCTTAATTAAATGGGTTTTAAAAAAGTACAGTCAAGTTTAGGATATTTCAAGAATATTCATTACTCAAGAGTTCTTTCTTCTACTACTGGTTTCTGCATCTTTAGAAATAATAATAATTAATGGCTCCACATGCTCTTCTGTCATGTTCTCAGTGGTGAATTTCTGCACAGGCGCGCGCCTGGAACCTCAAAATTTAGCTCTCAAAATAAGTCAGTCGAAAATTTTAAAATAAATTACTTTTTTATGTCCATGGATTACTAGATTTTTTGTTTTTATCATTTTTATCTATTGAAACGTAACAATTCTTTTACCAATAAGTTTCAATTTTCACAATTAATACACTTTGAACCAGTAACCTTTTAAATACAGCCAGGCAGTTGTCGGTTAATTTTCAGTGTTATTTTCCTATGTCTCACTTTGTTTGGACCACCAGTATAATGTTTACCAGAGTAAAAAACGTGCGCGTAGAACGCACACTGTAGGGTGTAGGGGTAGTGAAAATATTTAGAGGGGTTTCAAAATTGAATTGTGCCTGGGGCCTCTCAAGTGCTAAATCCGCCACTTCATGATCGGATTCCTAACGTTTGTGCTTCCCCAAATGCTTGGCGGGACGAAAAAACGTCCTGCATTAAGAGCACGTGCAACGAATGTGTCACGTAGGAAGAAAGCTTTTGACGCTCTCGATTGGTTGACAGGAGAACGCTAGTATATTTGTTGCATCGATGGCCGATTGAACAATCTGTCGCGAGATATAATATACACACGTGAGAGCAATTCTAACTAACAAGTAAGTCGATAGTCCAATACAATACCCCAAATGGCTCGAGTAATACTTTTGAACCTTCCTCTGTCTCCTGGGACTAACTATCCATGAAAGGGTCTTGCGTGTCAATATCACATGGACGAGCAAAAATTCCAACTTATTGTTACAACGTTGAAGATGATACTTCTGGTACTGGAACTCGTGCGAGAAACTTCTGATAGCTGTACGATGCACTTGTCTAGAGCGTCATCGGATCTTGCGCTAAAAATTCACTCAACGTTGAAATATTGTGTAACAAATATGTTCCAACTGAAGACGCAGTGCCGAGCGCATCATCTGTTTCGCAGCAGTTGGATTGGGGTGAATCGCGAGAGAATTTGAACTTATACTTGTCACAATTCAGTTCTTGTAGTATCCTGAAATATATCTCGCTCCGGTGTCCACTGTAGTGAATTGTTAATATAAACTCGAAAATAACTGGGTTACTGGATCGACGGAAATAAAAAAAAAATAAACATCTTACTAAGGATAAAGATTTAAGTGGATGCTGATCTGAATGAATAGAGAAAATAGCTTATCCTCCTCTAATATAACTGTTCTTCAAACCAATATTATTCATTCCATGGAGATAATAGGTGGAGTTCGTTTTAGATTGAAATAAAAGTAGGACGTTGGATACAAATCCCATTATACTTCTTGCCCGGAGCAAAACTAAATAACGACCATTCTCAGTAGGAATTTAGCGACCATCAATAAAACTGCCATCGTTCCACTGTTTAGTTTTACCCTGATGTTTATTTTTCCTATGTTTCATCTAAATAAATAAATGAGGTATCTGGTAATTCTTATCTATATTGTCTTATTTGTGCAAATGACAACAAAAGTGCGTCTAGATGCAATAATTTCCGGTTTCTCGATATAAAATTTTCTATGATCTATTTTTCCATATTTTAACTGAAGCTTTTTGTTAGATCGTCGCTAAATTATATTTTATCTCCTGTGAATGAAATTTTTTCATTTAATTTTTCTTTAACAGAAAAAAGCGTTGGATAATTATGTTTTATAGAAATTTCCGAATTAGTTGCATAAATAACTGACAAATCGAAATCGTCCAAATCTGTAACTGGATCTTTTTATGGTCTTTTCTTTCCAGGAGTTAAAAGTTTCTTGGATGAATCTGGTTTGTCAATGTTGCTAGCCATAATGTTTTTACAATACAATACATCGTAATGTTTTTACAATACAATACATCGGAATATTTTGATGTTTTGTTAATAGCATCACTGTATGATGTGTTTTGAAAACTGAAGTAATTATGGATTTTTTAAAATGGTAGCCGTAGTTTGGCTGTGCAATGTTTCACCTCTGTTTAAAGATAATTTTTTATTTTCTCCATTTTCCTGGGAAACTAGGATAAGCATAATTTCACTCCCTGATATCTTAATCACAGGCGTAAAGAAATCACACTCGTGTCCCGTGCCTAATTCTAATTTTATTCGAATAGTGTCAAATTATTTTTTTAATAAAAAACATATCACAGTATTAAAGATTTCTTAGTAAATGTATAGAAAATTAATTTAGATACACATCAAATGTAATTTGTGTATTAAATGAATTTTTTTATATATTTTATTGTCATTGAATTTTCAGTAATATATTCAGAACATTTTCCCAAAACACTTTTAGATAAGATATATGAATAATATGCGGAAGAAATTTATAGTCTATTGTGATAAAAATTCTAAATTAAAAAGAAAACTATAATTTCAGATTTATAGATTGTGCCAAATTGGAAATCTTTTCGAAGAACTGGCTAAAATGTTGTGCTATAGTTCACAGAGAAGTTAAATGTAGCGTGTTAGCGCTCGTATATCGCTTCAAGATATTTACCACAGTGGTAGAAAAAAGTCAGGAATTTTATACCATAATTTAAGCAGTTTCTTTACTTTTACACAACAAAATTAATCTTTAACTAGTTCTTAAAATCTCTGAGGATACGTGTTTGAAAAGTAATGTCTTGTTTCTGGGTTATCGATTCGTACCTAAAAGATACGTAAATGAGATCATAACCTAAATTTTACTCCAATGAGTTATTGTAAAAGTGTTTGTATTATTTTATTAAATATTTTAAAGAATGAATAAATTTTATATGAAAATTTTGTATTTAAAAATTTTCTAATAATAATAACTAAGCTGTGATTTATTTGAATAAACTTTCAACAGCCGAGACAATCAAAACCATATTATTCAATGTATTTGATGAGCATGACATATAATGACCATTTATCTTATACAATATCATATTTTTATTCATAAATTATATTTGAATATTTAGGAAAATTTACTTTTATCAAAGTTAATAAGATATAATATTGAAAAATCTTTATTATTTTATGTGGTTTAAAAAATATTGAAATGTATTTAATATTTAACATCGTACTTTTTTTTTTAAATTATTCAAGAATACAATACTCTGATATTCTGGATTCTAGATTCTAGAATGTAACTAACACGATTCGTGTATTATTGGTTTGCGTCGCGAATTTCGATTTGACCAATTAATTTAAAATTAACATTTTGAATCGTTGAATTGGCCAATGAGAGAGTTCGTGTCGTGTATCTCTATATGGCTTCCATCATTGAAAATTGCTTAGCCCTTGTAATGTTGAAATGTTTATACATTATTAAGTCACTATAACGATATTTAATTTCTGTTCTGAAATATTAATTAAATAATAGCAAATAAATTTGAAGGTTAGCTGATTTATTTATAATTAAAAATAAATTAATTAAAAATAAAAATAAAGAAATCGTCATCAAATAATATGACGTCATTTTTTTATGTTTTCAGTTTAAATTTTATAAGTACAAAAAAATTCTGATGCTCTATTTCTTTAGAATAAATGTATTAAATTAACTCTTTTAAAAGAATTTGTAAAACAGAAATTAAGTTAATCAATTAAAATAAATCACAGTCAAACGAAGACAGAAAATGGCGCCATCTACCGGATGATGTAAAATTCGATAAAAATAAATAAAAATTTTGTAATAAAAAAATATACATAATTCTCTTTTCAATTATTTGTTAAAATATGATAGTTATGGATATAAATGTGATTTGATTTTAATTCTATTGAATGAAGGGGGAATAAAATTATATGAATCTGATAAGAAGTTTATAATTATCAGAAACTCAATTTGTGTACTTGAAGTTGTGTTGTATAGTTGCTAAGATGGCATATTATTATTGATTTGAGTTTGTTTATTGGTTTCCAGGGAAACCGTGGCTGAAACATAGATCTATTTTATTTGGCATAAGAATATGTTAGCGCTTCTCGACGAGCATAAGGCTAACTGATCGAACTTTCGGTTACTCAATTTTGAATCGTCTGCATTTCATCCCGTTTCCAAGGTAACTTGCACGCAACACGTGTTAGCTACGTCACCAATTCCCAGCAGCCCCCGTGCCGAGGGACCTACGATGTGTTTGAATATCAAATGAAACTTTTCTGAGAAAATTTTTGTCAAATGGACCGTTTTCTGTGGATTATGAATTACATTCTCTACTTTTCACTTCTCACTGTGTTAAGTATGTATTATTATTATTTTTTAAAATTATTGCGTACAAAATGTTAAAAATTACAATTATATGATTTAAATTTAGAAAATATCCCTCAGTTTTAACTATATTTCCCTAATTTTCCTGACACGTTTTATTTCAAAGAAAAAATTAGGGAAATTACTCATCCAATTTTTTTTCTTTGAAGGAGCAATCAATTAGGAAAATTATTTATTTAATTAAGGAATACTCATTCAGTGAAGCATTGCTAAATAGGGAAATATAATTTCCTTTAATATATTTTCAAAAAGTTATAAATACATCCAAGAACATAAATAATAATTAATTAATTATATTTAATAAAGTTAAAATTTGCATTATTAATGTAATTAATATAAATTTTATTAAAATTTCGGATAATTCTGTTACTGTTTTTCCCTAATTCGACGATTTTTCCCATCATTAAAATCAGTTTTATTAATTAAATATCACGAGACTTTTTAAAATATTAATTACTGTTTTATTATACATAATTAATAATGCAATTAATAAATTATTATTTAATTATCATCAAATAAACGCATATATTTTTCTCTTTTAGTACTGTACAGTACAGTACATTAAACAATTCTAATAAATAAATATATAGTAAAACTATTTTTAGTAAAAAGAAATATATTTAATAAGGTATCAAAATGTGCGATTAAGATAAATAAATGGCATAAATCTATTACAGATAGATTTGAATGAGATAAATAAATGAAAAGATTGATTTTTCTTTTCTTTGCTGCTTTCATAATGAAGGACGATTGATTTTTATGTTTCATTTTTTTTCTTTCATTTTTTTTCTGTTAAAAAAAGCAAAAAACAAAGCCATTTTAAAACTATATTAACCATTCAACTATGCAAACAAATATGAAATGAGTTATATACAGTATATGTTACTAAAAATTACAATATTTCTGCGGAAATTAGAAACTAACCTTATACATACATTGTTAAAAATGGTTCTGGAGATTTTTTATAGCCTTATTTCACTTTATTATTGATACTTTCCTTTTACATGTTATTTTATAAAAAGTTCGTTTCGTGCTTTAAACTAATTGCTTTAAGATTATACTCATTACATTCTAAAATTTCTATATTTTAATGTCAATCGCGCTATTATATATATTTTTTTAATTTATAAAATTCTGAAATTTAATCTATAATGCAATTACTTTTATAGCTTAAAACTTTTATACATTTAATAAGTTTTTAAAAATTTTATTTAGTTTTATTAATATTTTATGCTAATTTGTTTAATTGTAATGGTTTTGCCTATTGAATTTTGATTCTTATTGATTCTTGTAAGTTACAATAAACGAAAGTATGAAATAATTGCCTAATCAATCAAAAGCCTATAAAAATTATAAAACAGTGACTGAATTTAAATATTAAAAAACACTCTGTATAATGTATTTTTTATGGTTTGGTTTCCTTTTATTATTATTATTATTCAAAGGTCATACAGGTTATATGAAACTTTAACTGGAGGGGTGAAAACTAATTTTTTTTTTAATATTTAATTCTGCATATAATTTTTAAAATGCTTAATTTATGTTTAAATTTGTAAAATAAAGTTAAATATTATGTCGTTTTTACTTAATTCATAATAAATATATCATTTTTATGTATTTTTTAAGCAATGAAATTAATTATTTCAGTGTTTTATTTAAAAAATAATTATTAATTATAGAAATTTTCTATTAATTGAAATAAAAATCGAAAATATTTTGTTTGTGAAAATTTCTATCCAGTCGTTTAACTCTAATAGAAACAGAAAGCCATCTGACATCCGAATTTTTAGCATATTATAATAAAATTATAGTTTACTTGAACTATATTAAATATATAAAAAAAGAATATTGACTGTTCCTGACAAAATTCATCTTGTAATTATCGGTAAAGGTTAGCGAGAATTTTATGTATATGACATTTATGAATTAAATTAAAAATTTTCGATTTAAAAGTAAATATTAAAAATAAAATTTGTATTTATCGTTTCTTTATAGCCATGAGTTTGGTATTTAATTAAATTTTGTTTTGTCGTTTCTATTATAGTTTAAAATGAAAATTTTAAACTATAATAGAAAGTAATAATGATTCTGTATTTTAATTCATTTAAATATAAAATTGTGAATATATCAATCAAGAATTTTTATTGTATTTCTATTAAGAATTTTACTCTTCAGATATCTCGCAAAATCCCCCACAACTTTTATAAAAAAAAATCAATATCAATTTTATAAGTAACATAAATATTTAATGAAAATTAAATTTTTGTTAAAATAAGAAGAAAATTTTGGAAAATATTATAATTTAAAATTAAATTTTTACGTTTCATTGAGCTGGAAAATAGGAAAAATGTTTATCAAATTCCTTCAGATGCTGTTTTTTCAATAGTTATACACATCTGACAGTAAATGAGTTTTCATTTTCTCGGTTCAATAAAGCCAGAACTGGAATTATTTGTATTGTATTTTTTATACTTAAAAGATAAGTTATGTTATAAATTACACAAAGCTATTAAGTCATTTCAAAGTATATAATAATTTTAGATAATTCCGTGTTATTTTATTGTCATTAGATGTTCACGATGCATGAAATAAAATGAAATTTCATGAAAATATAAGTTATTAAATAACTTGAAATTGTTGTTATGATGTTGTTAGTAGAAAAAAAGAGTTTTTCCATGTTATTTTCAAAATTTTGCTTCAATTAATAATTACACATTATTGAATTACCCTTGAAAAATGCTTCTGGTATCTACAAATAAAATACTTAAACATTGTATCTAAGCCTTTTTATGTATCTGATATTACCGGATAATTTTTTCAATCGATCATTTTTTTTCGAATTATTTTAAAATTGCGAACTATTTTTCGCATATAATTTATAATTTGGGAACTTTAAGATTAGAATATGATCTGAGCTAAACTAAATGTTTGTGTATCATGCAAACCAATAATGTCTGTTTGGAAATTCATATGCCTCATTGCTGCGGAAACGATCGGCAATTATTCGTTTCCAAAGCATTCTCGAGAAGTTCAGCATACTCGAAAATTCTGACCCTTGATTATACTATAACACAGTAGTGTTTAATATACTAGCAAATGATTTGCTTAGTATCAAGGAAATTTACTTTTAACAGGCGTAACGTAAGTAAAAGAAGTTTGTTATGAGACATTAAAAAGGATAGATAATTATGTTTTGTTTAATTCTGTTACCATATTTTAATTCTACGACTTTCCACGACTAATTCCACGACGAATAGTAAATAGATTTAAAATATTTCGAAATTCTACAATTACAGTGGAACCTCGGTATACGTCTGCTTTAGAATACGTCCTGTTTGGACGAAACAAATTTTGCTCGGTATACGACTTTTATTCGGTATACGACTTAATTCAATTATACGCGCCATCTATGAACAAGTAGCACTATCGGTGTACTACACCAGACTAGACGTTCGCGGTGCCACGGTTTATAACTTTGTTAAATTTCTTCTGATTTTAATTTGTAAGTATCATTTTATTATTTTTATTAATCATGAATTGCAAAAGGGCAAATGAAAAATAAAAAAGTGACTAGAATCACAACGGAACTGAAAAAGAGATTGTTGAGAAATATGAAGGTGGCAGGCGTGTTCGAGATTTAACTGTTGCATTCCGTATTCCGAGAACGACGATATCGACAATCGTGAAAAATAAAGACGTTATTAAATTTGCTAACGTTACGAAAGGGGTTAAATCAATTTCTAAACAGAGATCGAAGACATTAGATCATGTCGAGAAATTGCTGTTGTTTTGGATAACTGAAAAACAGTGTGCCGGCGACAGCGTATCGGAAGAAATTCTTTGCTAGAAAGTTAAAAGGATACATACTGATCTCATGAAAAATCAAGCAGAAACGAGTAAGGAAAGCGAGGTGTTTAAAGCCAGCCATTTTTTTTACATGAGAACGGATTAATCATTTTTACATTACTTCTTATGGAAAAGGTTGGTTTGGTATACGTCCTATTCGGTATAAGTCCAAACACCAGGAACGGATTAAGGTCGTATACCGAGGTTCCATTGTATATGAAAAAAGATGTAATTTAAATGTGTCTTGCAGGACTCTATATACATACGTACATACTTTAATCCGGAAAAATCTTTCTGCGAACTTTCTTTGATGAACATAAAAAGAACGGAAGTATTATACTTGAACGTTGTCAAAGAAAATCAAGAAATTAATCACTTTTGGGAGAGTATTTTCTCTACAAAAACTTTCGCTTTTTATATGTTTGAATCTAATTTATTATTAAATTCCTTATTACTGACAGATAATTTTTGTTTTTTAATATTCCAGGTCATTTTGTTCTATATTTTTCATTTCTATTTTATTATATTATTCAATAAAAATTATTTTTGCATGCAATTCACTTTTGTCATTCTAATTATCATTAGGAGAATAAGGCAATAATAGTCTATAATAAATATAATTAATAGCACAAAATGAAAAATAGAAAATTAAGAAAGAAAGAAGAATCATCATAATTTTATATTTAAATTATAATTAATTAAGTTGGATTAATATCATCGTCATCATGAAATATATAATTTACTGATTATGAATTAAACTCTGATTTGTATGTCTTGTATTCATTTTTACTTTCTCGACTGTTATGTATAACAAAGGAAAAGTATGGCGCTAGATCAAAAAATGACCTCCAAGATTTTTACATTTTTGGACATGGGATACTTTGAAACACAGAGAAATGCAAAATAATCAGGGGTAATTTCTATATATATGGATTTAGTTTGTGGGAACACGGATTTTTTCACCCTCTTTGAAGCTTAATAACTCCGGTGCTTTTTGTCGAAAATTTCTGAACTTTTGCAGGAGATTTGTTTATTAGGTGGATTGATGCTATTAAATTTTGATTATTAAAGGTCAAGGGGATGGGGAGATAAAGGTGGTCCGGTAGGGTCAGACTTAATGATGAT